TCATTATTATTTTGGAATAATAATGAAATCCAAGTAACGATCAAGAACTTAAAAACTAGAATAAATACTAGAATAATATTCCCAAAACAGAAACCCAAACTCAAATATACTCACAAAACCCTCAAAATTCAGATACATAAAAGCTCTGGGTCCGTGTCATCTGTGATGACGAATTTCCTGCTATAATATTGCATGAAATGAAATCACTTTTTTGTGTGCACACAGGTTCTGTTTACATTTATTGCTCCTCCACTTCCCTGTACACTTGACTGAAATAAATTACATCATGCCCTAGATCAAGTATTTAAAGATCTAGATGGGGATTTTAAAGGGGAGATCGGGTGTCTACATAATGCTGGATGTCTCAGTAAGTAAGTGTTATAAAATGTTACAAGCCATTTTCAATATATATATATATATATTGGCCAGTTTTGATTACACAGTGTAGTGGTTCAGTTCCACAGGCAGTGTTGCCAACTCCTCAGTAAGGAAAACATCTATTGGCTGTCCTAAAAGTAGCGAAAAGTCGCTAAATGACGTCATCACCTAATTTGCATAATTGGTCATGCTAATGTATTTGTAACCTACGTTGTAGGAGAGAAAAATAACATCGTGGAAGAGACATAAAGTGAGCTAAAAACGTCCTAAATGCATTTAGAATTTATTTAAAACTACAAATTAAATTTCTTTTAGCAATTATTGTTTTTTTTATGTCACAATTCCAACCCTGCTCCAAAAGTGACCCGAAATAGTCACTCTGGTGGAGTTACTTTGTGTGTGTGTGTGTTTATAAGTAGTTTTAAACCTTGTGACCCACAAAACAACATAACAGTAAAAGAAGAACTGACTGCGTTACAGTCAGTACGGAAGTATCGGCTTTGCTCATGCGCGATTCATTTGCAGTTTGGACGCATAGATGGGAACATCTCCTGCCCTGATAGCAGCTGGGGGAGGGTTGCTGATACTTTGCACGAGCGAGGTGCCCACTGCAGCACCTGCTGCTTGTTGAGAGCAAGAGCGATATGCGCTTTCACGTCAAAAAGTCGTCATAAATGAGTCTTCAATAACACCAGAAAAAGTCGCCAGATTTGTCGCTAGTCGCTTTTTAGAAAAGAAAAGTCGCAACACTGTCCACAGGAAGGGCATCTAGCATTAAACTGTGCTGTAGTGATGCCCTGTGACGAGGAAAGCGCTGAAAGTAGCTTTGGTAGTCAGATTTCCATTTAAAATATGGGTCAGATGTTGTTACAACTAACAACATGAAAATAATATTTTTGCTACCTTACCTACTAGTGTGTTAATAAGAATGGCAATAGCATATTTGCATTTGTAGAATAGACCACAATGTACACGTCATCTATCAATGAAGGCTTTTTATTCCAAACAATAATAATAAAAAGAAAACATTTCTTTAAATATGAATATAAAGCAAGGCAAGACGGAAATGTAACAAACGAAAAATCCAAAACAAAATGCATGCCAAAGAATTTTCTGCAGAAAAATAAAATAGTAAATATGCTATATTATGCTAAGTAACAGTTTGCAAAACATTCCCCATTTTGTCAGATTCTTTTTTTCTTTTCCTTTTTGAGATATTTTTAGTCTAAATTTTTCAGGTATCCAATGGGCCAGAGTCAAAAATGCAGAGATAAAGCCATTGGTTCATCATTGCATGTGGTTAAAAGTCGAATTTCCTTAAAACATTTTAGCAGGGGATGAAAAATTAATCACAAGTAAGCAGGATGTTTCTGGCTTGCTTTGTTTGTTTAGCAACCAGTGCAGGCAGCAAATGCGCAGATCTCACAGATGTCCAAGGGTACAGCAGCTAAAATGAAGACAAGAAATGGAAGCAGATAAGGTACACTGCTGAGTCATCTATATTTAATATTTATGACCTATGATGTTATGATTCAGGCAAACTGAATTTATAAATGCCTTACATAATCTGACAAGGGAAGCAGATGCTCCTCTCTGCCTGCAGAGTGGCAGAAACTCCTGTGGGAGCATGGGGTCAGCGCAGAGGGACATGGTGTTAGCCTTCAGTCTTGGGTTTTGTTGTCCTGTCATACCGTTACTCTCCGACATCTCTTGAAGCCGCTTGACAGCTTCCATTGAGAAAGACAGTCCGTTCTCCTGAAAGAGAAGCAATTGCAGTTACAAAGGCACTGCAACTTCATCTAAAGCTTCAGAGTCTACACAGTTTCAGTATGATTTGTAATCCATGAAAGTCCAGAACAAAAGTTAGTTTAATTTCCCAAAATTTGAGCTTCACTCTCTCTACTAATGAGCAGAAAATTGCCATTGTTCAAGCCTGCAATCTCATCATGAACACATCAGTCATGCAATGATGCTAAGGAAGGCACTTACTTCAACTTGCACAGCCTCAGAGGTCCAGCCCAGAGCCAGGACGACGAGAGCAGTGATGGCAAATGTGGCTTTCATGGTGACAGTAGACAGCAGTTTGTCTTGCAGTCTTTTTGCGTCTTATTGTAGATGTGCTCAGCAGGTGCTCAGTTTGATGTTTCTGATTTCCCTGTGCCTGCAAGCCTCCTTTTATACAATTCTACCCAGCAGCCCCATTATCATGTGACCAGATATGCCGCAAATGAGAGCAACGTTTTTCTCACGGGTTAATAATTAGTGAGATTAGAGTTAGTGTTTTACAAGGCTGTAAAGAGAAATTCATAAATCCTACTTTGAGCTCATCGTCTCTCTGATTAGATTTATGGATCTCTGGCTCATGTGTGCTGCATCTTGGGTTGGTTAAAGAGTTATCTTGAATTCCTCTGACAATAGTGACTCACAGACCCATTGTTAGAAATTGATCCAAATAATGGGCTTTGTTTAATGTGGAAAAATGTCGGACAAACAGTTTTTATATTTAAATAGGCCTCCCCCCACATAACGCGTTGTTTATTACAGAAAAGGTTTATTTATGTCAGTGTCAGTACTTTTCTTTCATATCTTTGATTTTCTTATCAACAAAAACACACCCAAAAGCACTTAACTGGACTACAGCTATAAGCAAATAGTGTTCTCTCCTATGTGAGATGTGTACAGAGATCTTATTAGCCCCTGGCTGAGAATACTCACTGAATACTAGTGCAAATAAATTGACTGCTTTTCCTGCTTCTGCTGCAGAAAACAGCTGAACAGAGTTCAGTTTTATTTATTTATTTATTTGTCCTTGACAAGCCTGCCCTGACTTGAATTAATCATCATTAAAAGTGCATGGTCATGCTTTCTAAAAGGATTTTTTGACATGGTGCGATCAGGGTTGGTATAACATAAGTTGAAAAAGGCTTCAAGCGGTACAGAAAAGTTTGTACCTCACTTGTTTATCTATGGAAGTATTTCTCTACAGGCTATAGTGCGCATCAGGATCTCTAAGAAACATCTGACCCTCCATTAATAAAACAAAAAAGAGATGCAAGTAAAGTTAATTGACTTGCTTTGGAATGGCACCAAATGTGCAATCACGTACACGGCAGTGGGTGTGGCAGCCCAGAGACACAGCTGGCAGGATTTTAATGAGTTCATTAAAAACAATTTTTTTACCCATAGCATGAAGGATCAATCTACCCAGTGAACAGACCTGCTGTGGCGCAGTGCATCTCAAATATATTTTGGTCATCTTTAGTTTGAGTCTGAGCGATTTATCAGGTGATTTCAGCTAGAGCAGGAAAATGATGTTATTTTATTTGTTTTTTAATTATCACTCACTTCCCTGAAGAAATCTAATCTAATAACAAATATATTATGTAGCTCATTTCTTTACTGTCCCTTATTACACCTGTAACGTGAACCTGCTGCATTTCTGGCTCTGTGTTAAATTTATATATATATATATACTGGTGCTATAATTGGACCTTAAGATGAAGCAACTTTTTGTCTTCTAGCTCTTTCATAGCTTACATGACCAAAATTATTCTCTAAATTGTTTGAGTCACAGCTGTAAGCTTTAATTTGCATTGGAAAAGACCATGGTGTACATGCATTTTGTCCATGAAGGGCAGGTAAAACATTAACAGTAACATTAACAATTTAACCTAATGAGCTCAGAAAGAAAGTTACTGGACTTCTTTAAGGTAATCTGTGAGTATTTCTTCTGGGTAATTTTTAAAATGCTTGTATTTGTTTTAATTGAATTGCCCAAATCACCAAAACATGCTTATCCTCTGCAGGATAAAAAAAAATCTTTACGGCCATTTAGCGAATTAAACTGTTTTTCTTCCAGCTGTTGGAAATTGTCTTAGAGAAGAAGAGAACAGCAGTGGCTGTTGCTAATTGTCCTGCTGTTTTTGTACATTACAGGGCATTTATCTGTTGGTGAAGCAGATACTGCTTACAACTGGGAACTGAATACTTTGACGTGGAGAATCTAGTCGGCTAAGTAGCTAAAGGGGGTTGCTTCAGCCGCCTTGGTGATAATGAAACAGGTGCACTAGAGGGGCAACAAATCAGGAATGGCATTAAAGCTCAAGGCCATATTTTTCCTACTGAGTGTTTCTTTAATGTTTTGAGCACTGTACTTTATTTCTTCCTTACCGGAGGGGAAAGTCACCGTTTTGTCTTTACTCCTGTGAATTCAGTGGTCTTCAGGTTTCTTTATTACTGAATTGACTTTTACAACAGTCCGCTCTATTGTTTATGACATCTCGCCTTATTTGATTTATAGCCACACTCAGACTGGTGTTTTATCCACTTCTGTTTTCACAGCTTGGTGATTGCCTCCAGTCAAACTGCTGTCTTTGCACTTTATTGAAGTGAGTTTATCTTACTGCTGAGCAGTCACACACGTTTAATAGCAGAGGAGAATGAATACTCATTCATGCTAATTTATGGTGTTTTCGTGGGTAAATAATTTTTACCCACGAAAAAACACCCACTTCACACCACGGTTGACCAGCTCTTCATCTTATGACAGTAGTCTTTTCCTTCTCTACATTAAAGTGCTGCAGTTTGACAAAAGCTGTTATAAGAAATAGTTTTCATTGAGGATGTCCTGCCCTTAACCCTCAAATGAAGGTACTTTGAGCCGCTCCCAAATTCCCTAGGGGTTCCCACAGCGGATGGATCTGTCTGCTTTGATTTGGCACAGGTTTTATCCTGGATACCTTTCCTGATACGTCTGTTCCATTTTTTCAGCTTTAGGGCTGGCACTAGGAGAACACTAGCTTTTTACTGGCTTGAGTTTGTGTATCCTCAAACTAGGGTTCTTCTGCCTGTAAGGCAAATGTGATAACCTTGGTGGAGCCATGCTGTAACCCTTAACTGACCAAACTTATTTTATCAACTAACATTATTGTGTAAATTAATCTAATAGATTACATAATAAATTAAATTCAAAATCAAATATTACACATTAATTATAAATTATATCGTGTTTCTAAATTTATATCTTTTTTTTTCCAATAATACTTGAATTAAATTAATTAAAAAAGTTGAGGTGTCTATGAGGGAATTCTGTTTTTTCAACAGAACAGTAAAAATGAGAACAACATAGAGGAAGCCACCCAGGGCAGAATCAAACCCAGGCCCCTGCTGTAGCCTTTGGCATTGACCACCTGCTCGACCTGCTTCACTGACCTGTACCTGTACTGGCACAGAACCTATGAAACATTTTTAAGATAAAAAAAATGTTACAATGGCACATAAAAATATACCTAATGTGTATATTCACTGTTATCACTCACTTCCCATTGCTGGTAAATAAGTTTGCGTTTTATGTTTTTGTCTTTTTCTCAGGTGTGCCACATTTGGTGTCACTGACATGCTGGAAAATAAAGTTAGGAAAGAGTGAAAAGCAGCCTGGAGGCCAGTGTCACGGTGGTTTAGTTTTTATATATTTCAAACTCGACTGAACAATGTCTGAGTGCTGCTTGAAAGGAGACAGTCAGGGATTTTTGGCTGAAATGACAAAGGATCACAGGTGTTACTGATGGAGGCGACAGCTTCATTACGCCTCATGGCATGGTGTTAAAAGGCAGGCGAAGATTAGTCTGCCCATCTAGAATATAATTTTTCCATCACTGCTGATTGGAATTGGAGCTGAGGAATGTTTGTGAAAACTGGAGAGTCATTAAAGAAAAAGCCAGATATTAGTAAGTGTGTGTGTTTCTTTGTTTCTATGTGTGTGTGTGTGAAAAGGGTGTTAGGAAGGACGTTAGGATGTTATCTGTCTGAATGTGTCAACAATTGTGACATACAGGAAACCTGTACTATATGTCATTCACACAGTTTATGATGGCACTGACTCAAGCCAATTGAGTCACTGTATGATGTAAGCAGGGGTAATGATAACTGGGAATGTTGTGGTTCGGCACTATATATATAAAATCTAATTAAAATGTAAAATTATGCCTATGTCATCATTTAAAGGCTGAGTTAGTCAGTTTTTGCATTGCCTTTATCATACAGCCAGTGTAGAAGGGTGGTACTAGTACATGAGGCTAAGCCCGCACTGTTAATCAATAATCTTCACTTCAGACAGGAAAGGATTCTTTTCAGTCCAACGGGCTGCCACGTAAGGCTGTCTGGCGGAAATGTGTGGGCAGTACAGTGGGTTGTAAAAATATTGGGATAACTCGATACATGTTAATAATTTAATAGTGCTGAAGCATTATTATGGGCTGATTTGATGTGACAAAGTGTTGAGTAATAGGTTAGAGTTGGTGAATTTAACTGGGTCTGGCATTTTACTGCACAAAGTGACCTCTGTTAATCGCAAATAAAATAAACAGACCAGACTAAGAGGCCCAGTTAAGAACTGGTCAAAATCTTTTTTTGCATCACTATTTGTCCAAGCTTGTCAAAACAAACAGTTTTCTGTTTGCAAAAAGTGAATAATAGCCTCCAAGTCATGGGAAAGGGCAATTATTCACACTAATGGCAGCAGTTTAGGGTGGAGAGAGTAAATCATCAGCCTGAGAGTGAATAGAATCTCTTCAAGTAGAGTGACTTCTCAACATTTCACACTCAAGTGGGCCAATTAAACTATCCGTCAAACTTCTGCAGGCTGCTAAGATGTATTTGTGGACATTAAGACTAAAAACACCCCAGCATGAAAGTAAACAAACAAATAAATACACAATAAAGGCTCTCATCAATGCAGGACAAGAACAGGGCCTAAGCACCAGAGCCATATTGATAGAAGTCTGCTCACTCTTTTCTACCAGTACCGACTTGCTTTTACCCGACTCGAGGCGCTTCTCTACTCGGTTTTAGACGTTTTTCATTATAATTGAGTGCCACTTAAAATGTACATTAAGTCAAGGTCATTACAGCAATACAGCTGAAAGTCCTGTGACGTCATTTGTATGCGACACAATAAGACAGCACAACAATGTACAACATTGTACCTGCTGCTCTGTCACACTCAGGGACTTTGCTGCAATTGATGCCCATTCTGTTCTGTGCCCTAGCAGGAGGTCCAGTTGTTGCTTTTCCTGCCATAAACTTTACCATT